AGTTTAATTATTTGAATATATATTTATCATATATAATTTTTTACATGCCATATATGCCGTTTTTTAAATGCCGTTATTTAACGTTTATTGGAAAAATTTACGGAAATGTTTAATTAATTAGTGATAAATTGTAAAAAAAATATATGACTTAAACGTGTAAATACAACTATAAAAACGATGCGACTATAAAATTATATATGAAACGCAAAATATTTTTAGTTTAAATCATACGATCGGTAGAACAATGGCTAACACATAGGAGACTGAAATGTGAATTAATAAAACGGGTTTTATAAATAAAAAGCAATCGGGAAGATCGAAGAAATGATTCAAAGATATAATAGGATATGATGACGATTTAATCGCGATAGAGGTTAATACTTAAACAGGGAAAGAAAGTCCTCCCAGGATGTATCCATCTCGGCAGATCGATCATATATCACGTTGCCGTAATCAAATAAACTTATACCGCTGAGTTATTAGTAGCAAATGTGAATTTTTAATATAAATAATAAAAATACAATAATGTTAATCAAACATTTAGCCTATGTATTATTTTCTTTGCTTTGTAAACAGTTTTAATGCCAATCAGAGGTTCGGCCAGGTCTACAATCGAGTGGCAGGGTGGTAAATTTTTATTTTTACAGTGACACCCTCAATTATCAGCGGGTGGATAATCGGGAATGTTATTGTAAAAGAATTTTTGCTACCCTGCCATCCGATCTTTACGTCACCCAAGTAGCCGGAGTTTACAACACGACACCAAGAACAAGAGATAGAGCACCTTGCAAGTTTGTTTCGTTTGTCGTTAGAATTAATACTAAAAAACAACCGTTTGGATTATTCAAACGAAACAAAAAAGGGTAGAAGTTACTTTTCGATTATTTTGTTATATACATATTTACTCGTGTAGACCTATAATGCAGTGATACATCCCGACTGGTTCAATTTAGAACACTTTGTCCATACGAAAAATTTTTCCCGAAATGTCCCGATTTGTCCATTTTTACCCGAAAATATTCCTATTTGTATTAAAAACAAGCAACGACTGTATGCGGAAAGTGTCCGCAGGCGTTGTACTGTACGGTACATGCTTACGCCAACTGTCCTCACGCATACACCATTAGTAATCTGTCGTGTTCTATTGGCGATGCGATGGTTTCGTGTAATCATCGACGATGGCTCAATGGTTGCTTTTATATTTTTACTTTTAACTATTTTAACTAATGGTGGAGTGAAGAAATAACTAGATCAAGGAAAATATATATATATATATAATGCTATTGTTAAAAGCATTCTGTTGGAGAAATAAAGAATGACAGCGGAAAGAAATGAAAAGTAACAACAGTTGAAATGGATGCATTGAGAAGATCGTGCAGAATCTCGAAAAGAGAAAGAATAACTAATAAGAACATCAAAGACCTAATGGGATTGAAGGAGACTGTTTTGGAAGAAATACAGGGAAAACAACTTATTTGTTTGGACATGTGAAAAGAATGGGTGATGAGAGACTCCCGAAAATGTCAATGGAATACATTCCACAAAAAAAGAAAAAGAGAAGAAGACCCAGGCGAACTTGGTACTTCGGAGTAAAGTTAGCATGTATAGTGGAAACGCGATTAAAGAGGAATGGTGTGTGAATAGAGAGAGTTGAAGAAGGTTCCTGGAGGTCGGAAGGCGACGTCAGATACCATAAACCGAATATAGATAGAGAACTATTTTACTGATTTTCGATTGATCACATGACCAGTAGTACTACTAACACATGGCGGCCGGATGGCCGAGCGGTCAAGATGGCAGCCTACCGCTCTGGGGGACCCGGGCTCGAATCCGAACGGGTCGAAAAATCCTCAGGAATTTTTCGGGGGGTGGTCCGTTCGGATATGTCGGGCCCCGTCCCTCAGCCGGGATTTATATCAAACTTTATAAGGCCTACAGTTGGGCTGCCGGGTTATAAAACCCGGCACCCCCACTGTAGGCCTGGCCGAACCCATAATGGGCTTGCAAAAAGAGGCCCTCTTAGTGCCCACAGGGAGGAAAGAGTTAAAAAAAAAAGTACTACTAACACATAGTCTATTATTCGAATCTTTTGCGTTGTACGATAATTTCTATCTTACCCTAATCAATCGTTTTAACGTATTTATTTCATAAAAAGTTAAGTTTTATGAACGTAGCCCTGCATACGTTACGAATACATTTGTAACGTATGCAAGGCTTGAACGTATGTATTTATAAAAACATTTACATTTTGTCGAAAAACTTATTATGTTCTTCATTTTGACGCTATTATTCGTAAGTAAGATGTTTAAAATGTCGACTTTATTATACATATTTTACTTTATGCTTATATCTTAACTTTAAATAATCTTTATAAAGGACTTTGTAAATAGCATCACATGTTTTAAGTATGATGTAACCAAGGACTTGAAGTAATATTACTGTTGAAAATTTAAGAACTTCGAAACTTCTTCCTGTTGCCAAATATCTTAAGGTCACCGTGAGCTTCTTATGGGATGAAATTTCTGCTCGCATTACGGTATTTGTCTTTTATGATTGGTGTAACCAATGATAACAGATTTAAATACGTTTCTTCGTTCATTCTCAAATAGTTGTGCCAATCTTTAGGTACTTTTTTTTTTTTTAACTCTTTCCGCCCTGTGTCCTTTTTGCAAGCTCATTATGGGTTCGGCCAAGGCCACAATGGGCTGCCGGGTGGTGAGGGACGGGGCCCGACATATTCGAACGGACCACCCCCGAAAAATTCGTGGAGATTTTTCGACCCGTTCGGATCGCACCCGGGTCCCCCAGAGGCTGCCACCTTGACCGCTCGGCCATCCGGCCGCGTATCTTTAGGTACTAACTTCAATTCTGAGATTAAGTGAGAATACGATCCTCTTTTTTTAGCCACTCTTTACACCGTAAACTTCTACGCACATGTTTTCCCCCACGAAGTTTAATACAATTTGTTCACAATAAACATACTAGAACAGCCAGTACGTCATCAGATGCCATGGCCGATTGACAAACTGAGAAGTTTTTCTCCTCGTGTATGGGCAATAGGAAACTCTGAATTTCCTTAAGGCCAGGTTTGCGCAGTTATTCCTCAAAGGATTTCTTCAACGTGTGTGGCCTCTTTAGGCTTAGGCATTTGAGTTTCGTCTTGCTGCTGCACACTCCGTTCATCGTAGGTATCATCATCTATATTAGCCAAAGTTATTCGCTTTAATGGTCTTCGTGGCACTACTGGCTGTTTCAGTAGATGCTGAGGAAAATCAAACTTTCCTTGGCATCTACTATTTGCATGAAAGATGGAACCGATGTTTCATGCAAGTAGGTGTAGTCTATTTGTTCTGTGTGTAGAAACAGTAAGGTTCAAAGTACTGACTTTAAAAAACACTACTTTGCTTGGTTTCCATTTGTCATTAGGAAACCTGTCAACAAAATTTCCATCGTGTGATGTTTTACGCACAAAAAAGTATACCATATCATCGTTCGGCGATTAAAATCTCGTAATTCCAACATTTGCTCAAATTTAAATTACAGCATTAGTGGATAACGAAACATGTTTCCCGTGATTTGAAAAACTCGTAAGTCCGAGTTAAACCTAATTCAATACATAAATAATGAATAATAAACATAGGGTAATAACGGACTTCTGAAGGAAGTTTAATGTTTTCTCCAGAAAAATGTCTTCAGAAAGAGTTACGAGATTTTGATCGCCAACCGAAGATATAGTATCAGAGTAACTAGACACATATCTAACTTACCGGATCCTCTTTTATACCTTGCAGTATAATTAACTCTTTCCGCCCTGTGGGCACTAAGAGGACTTATTTTAGCAAGCCCATTATGGGTTCGGCTAGGCCCACAATAGGGCGGCCGGGTGGTAAGGTACGGGACCCAACATATCCGGACGGACCACCCTCCGAAAAATTCTTGAGGATCTTTTTAATCCGTCCAAGAATGCGATCCCGAGTCCCGCAGAGTAGAAGGCTGCCATTTTGACCGCTCGGCCATACGGCCGTCTAACTTCGGGGTCTAGTAGTTATACAGTGGTAGGCAAAGGCACACTCGGTATTTTTGAATTTATAGTGAAATATAGTTATAATAAAATAATTGTTTTTAAAATAAAAAATCATGTACATACAGTTAAGAATAATATAAAGTACAGTACGTAGTATATTACAAAATGTTAAACTGAAATTACATAATGATATGTTTTTAAAAATTTAATTAATGAAGTTTCCTACTCATCAAAACAAAGGACAAAAGTATTGGCATAGTCGAAGATAATGGTAAAAATATATTACAATTTATATTTTGTAGCGGAACCCTGGTTCTTTATAATAGCTCTTAGTCTCTCTGGCATTGAATGCACTAGTTTTTGCATGATTTCAGAGGAAATTTTTCCCCATTATTCTATTAAATGATTTAAGTTTAATATTTCTCTTTTTCTCACTCTATCGTCAAGTTTTTTTTTCTTTTTTTACATAAATGTTCAATAGGATTTAAATCTGGAGATTGTGAGGGATGTTTCAGAATTTGAGGTGTTTTTTTTTAACTCTTTCTGCCCTGTGGGCACTAAGAGGGTCTCTTTTTGCAAGCCCATTATGGGTTCGGCCAGGCCCGTAATGGAGCTGCCGGGTGATGAGGGACGGGGCTCGACATATCCTAACGGACCACCCCCCGAAAAATTCCTGGGGATTTTTCGACCTGTTCGGACTTGGGTCCCCCAGAGCGGTAGGCTGCCACCTTGACCGCTCGGCCATCCGGCCGCATATTTAGGATTTAATTATTTCAGTCGAAGCGGTAGGCTGCCACCTTGACCGCTCGGCCATCCGGCCGCGAATTTGAGGTGTATGAAAAAGTAGTCATTGACATATAATACTATCCAAATGTTTATAGTCATTGTCCTACTGAAAATAAACACAATCGTCCAAATTTAGTTTATTTGTACTTTACTGAAGATTTCTCTTGAGAATATTTAAATACATCATTTTATCCATTGCACTGTCTATGAATACAAGTTTTCCCATGGGGTTGTACTGTGATGATATGCAACCTCATATCATCACACTACAACCCCATGTTTTACTGTAACTTGAATATTCTTTTCTAGCAGCTCTGTGCTGGGTTTTTTTCCAAAGTAAATTTTTACTGTTGTTACGAATTAAAGTGAATTTACTTTCATCTGAAAACAACACTTTACACCAAAATGAATCATATTTATTTATGTGATCTTTTGCGAAAGCAAGCCTCTTCTTTCGATTCATTTTACTTGTATATGGATTTCTTCTGGCTACTCTCACTTGTAACTAACACGATGAAGGATTCGGCAGACAGTTTTCGGATGAACCACCTTCTTGAAATCTTCCTTTAGCATCATTGTCAGTTGAAGATATTTTTGGCTTCCTCTTGACTAAAAAGACTATACTTCTCTCTTCTCTGGGAGTAAGCTTCCGTGGTCAACTGCATCATTTTCCAAGCTGCGAGTCAATTTAAAACATTTAATTACATTTTTTTTTACATTAAACCTACTCTTTTTAACTATTTTTTTAATTTCTGAATATGATTTCTTGAGACTACACAAATGTGAGATGATGTTTCTTTCTTCTATTGTTGTTTCAGTGCCTCTGCTATTTATTTTGGTAATAACAAAAACTAGATTGAAATAGCAATAATTTTCATACATGATAAGGTTATGATAAGGTTAAAAGAACCATTGGATTTCATATATCCACTATACTGGACATGAAAAATGACATGGATAAAACTAATTTGCTTAAAAATCTCACTGTGCCAATACTTTTGTCCGTTCGAATCATGTATTTAAATATACTTTCAAAGTTTTCAAAGCAACAAATACATGAGTAATATTTTTATTTAGTGTTATTATGTGATAAATAACATCTAATTATTATGTGAAAATTTCACAGAGCTACAAGTTTTTTTTTACCGTTAAATTTATACATGAAAATTTTAAAAATGGCTGTGTGCCAATACTTTTGTCCATCGCTGTATGTCGTTGATTTTAATAATATTGAAAGAAACAAGTAAATGGTGTCTTTCAAGATGTCTAAGCTTACATCTATAAATAATATACCATAATAATATTGATAAAATCGATACATTTTAGAAGTTATTTTTTGCCTTCTGACGTTCTTTTTTTTTTTCGGTTGGATGGCCGAGCGGCTAAGGTGGTAGCCTACCATACCACTCTACGAACCCGGAATTTAGAGGTTTTTTTTAAAACTCTCTTCTCTCTGTGGGTACCAAGAGGGTCTTTTTAGCAAGCCCATTATGGATTCGGTCAGACCGAATGCGTCCGGATAATGAGAGACGGACATATCCGGACGGACCACTCTCAAAAATTCCTGGGAGGTTTTTCGACTAGTCTGTATTCAATCCTGAATCACCTGGCTGCCATCCAACTAACTCGTAAGACAAGGTTGTATGACTACGTATAAAATGACTAAAAACACACAATTTAGAAGTTGTAATTTTAGTGTTTGTTTTTAACCCAAGTTGATCTATGATGTTAGGTTTTTAATTAATTGAATAGAATTTAAGAAAAATCGATTTTTTTTTACTTTTTAAGAAATTGCGACATTAGAAAAACCAGCNAATATTTTGTATTGACGCTTGTCCTTGTAGTAGTGTTATATTTATGATTTAAATTTTTTATTTTTTATTTTTTTGTCAGATATAAAAAAATTTATCAATATTTCAGTTTTAAATTAGAAACCGTTTATTAAAGATTATTATTTTGAATGATTTATGATTATAATTATAATATTTTTACGTAAATTTGGATTTCTTTAATTAATATAGATGGCGCAAAAAGTTCTGGGGGAAGTCGCGTGGTGATTTCGAATCTGCTCGTGCTTGTGTTTTTTCGCGGGAGTAATTTGAAAAAAAATGGAAGCTGTTCATTTTTCCAAAAATAGATCGTGGATATCAGACGTTATTAATCTGAAAAGTTTCCTGGAAGAATGGATTAATCAATTAAGGTTTACGTATCCGACGTTTCCTGAACAATCTCAAAAATCGCATACAAAAGAATTTTTAGAGTATATGAATATCAAGAGAGAAGATTTGAATTTTACTCCTAAAGAATGTGGGTGAGTATGAAATTACTTCATATAATTCTAATAAAATATTAACATTGTAACAATAATATATTTAAAATATAACACAGAAAACCAGTTATAATGACAGCTTGTTTACATTTAAAAAATAAACAAATTAGCAAGAATTTATTGAAAATATAAGAAAAATTATAAATTGAATAAAATTAATAATATGACAGAGAATAATTACAATGCAAGCAATTCCTGAAAACACTTTTATTTAGGATGATATTCGGTTGCATTCTATTGATAAGAAAAAGTTGTTTAAATTTGTTTGGGAGAGTCTCTATATTTCTGCCACTGAACCGTGCAACTCCCCAACTCTTGAATTACCAGAAATTTTGGTAAAAGCTTTTAAACAACTCAATCCATGATGTTGAAGTCTTTGCTACTCAGATGTCTTTTTGACATACCTCATACAGTCAACCCCCATAACACGGTAGATACATTCCTGTTTTTATGAATCCAGCTTCTAGGAGTCCAGCCAATCACAGCCCGGCATGTGTAAAGTTTACGGACTATGGCTGTTTCAAAGGTTTCTTCCATAAAATTAATCGATTCTAGACTAATTTGACTCAACATTTCCAAAATACGTATAATTTTTTGGGAATAATCCATATAAACTATGCTATAAACAAAAAATTGTAGGATTACTTACCGAGTGTGCACCGTTCGACTACGCCGTTGCTTAAGCTTGTTTTTGTCGTGGAGCTTGTCATCAAATGGCGCTTGCTTGCTTCCTGATAAATTAATTTTTTTTGCGTAAAATTCGCTGAACTTTAGAGACATCATTAATATAAATATAATTTTTATGGACGTTAAATAATAAATGGTTTTTGGTAGGTCTGCTGCTCGTTTAAACTCAATTGTTTGTCAATCCTGTTGCGACACAAGTTGGCGATGATGTTTTACTGAATTATAGGAGTTTTTTTAGCATGTTTGTACGAATACTGTCACAATTTTTTCACTGTGATATAGGAATCTGAACTATAGGAACCTGTGTTATAGGGGGGTCGAGTGTACTTCATGCATGTTCTGGGCTCTTTTACGGCCTTATTTTTTCTAATACATGCTTACATAAAATTGTTTTCCTTCCACGCGCTATGATGCACAAAAGGATTTTTAAATAACATTTGAAAACAAAAAATCAGTTAAACTGTCGGAAATATTGTTTGATAATTTTGAAAATCCGAAATTTGTGAAATTGTCAGATTAGAGTTCAAAAATCTTAATCTGTTGTATTCAATAGACTGCCTGAAGACGGTAGTTATATACTACTGAAAGTACTAGTGGATGAGTTCATTTTCTAAAGTCGGACGAGTTCATTCTCTAAGACTCCTGTAACGCCACAACATGTAAGTGTTATAATCATATAGAAATTAAACATAACATACATGTAACTTATTTCTCATTATTATATATATTTTTTACAGATGCCTTCTATACTATCAGAATGGGAAAAAATTGAAATGGGATTTACAGATAGCTGGAGTCTACATAACTGTATAGGTAAAGGCATGAGTCAGAAATAATCTTTATAATATAGTATATCTTTAATAATAATCAATATTATGTACAATTAATAGGCAGCATTGATGGAAAACATGTGCACATTAAAGCTTCAGATGGTGATTGTTCTGACTGCTACAGTTATAAAGACTGCCATAGCATTATCCTTCTGGTTGCAGCAGATCATAATTTCATTTATGTAGAATTTGGTTGCAATGGTCATGTAGTTGATGGTGGGATATACAACAGTTATTCTCTGTGTGGTCTTGAAACTAATGCAGTGGAACTACCAAAGCATAAGTCACTGCCACATGGAACAGTGGATTTCCACATTAATGTGTGGCCGATGATGCATTCCCTCTAAAACCTTTCTTGATAAAACCATATTCTAATGCAAACCTTACAATTGAAGAGAGGATATGCAATTACCATATCACCAAAGGACAAAAGGTTATCAAGAATGTTTTTGTATTTTTGCTCCCAAATTTTCTCACTACAACAATATTATTATTCCCAGAAGATGCTAAATTAATTTTAAAAGCTTGCTATGTTCTACATAATTATATTAGGTGCTTCACAGATGTAAGGAAATAACTACATGTCTTCAATGTCTGTTGATACAGAGGCCAGGCTTCAAGATGCTTTATTCCTGTGGAGTGGCAAAAAGCAAGGTGTAATCTTGGTGAATCTATTGAACCAATACAAGCCTATAATTATAGAAATAATGCAAAGCAAGTGAGAAATGAAATATGTACATGAGTGAATACAACTAAGTCTGTACACTGGCAATGTCATGCCATTGAATTGGAATAATTACACTTAATGCTGGATAATTAGTACATTTTTATATATTTATTTGTTAAATAAAATCTGTTACTTGATAATTGTGCCATGACTTTATTTAACATCAGACTACAGATCCTCTCTTTTTTAACACTAAAGTACATAAAGTAGAATAATAAATTAAAACATACTTTAGTAAGAATCAGGTTTGATTCACTTTCATATAGAGCTGTGTAAATTTTCAAGAATGATAAATCTTTATAAAATTTCCATGCTGGTGTAATCAGTTCATCTGTTCCCTGTCCAGATTTTGTTTTTCTTGCCTTTACATGTATTTTACAGTATTGAGTGCATAGATTTTTCCATTTTTTAAATATCTTCCATCAAATAAAGCAATATCTATACTAATATTATAAAGAGGTAATGTTTGTATGTATGTATGTATGTATGTATTGTTTGCAGCAGGTAATCTCCAAAACTACTCATCTGATTTCAAAAATTCTTTCACCAATATTTAGAATGGAACCTCAGGGTGGACATAGACTGTATATTATTCCGTTAAACATTCATATAAATTAAAATATATAATCTAGGTTAAGGCTTTTGTGTCCAACAGATGGCGCTACGAGTACAACGCCCTAAGTTTGCTTTTCTGTGAAAATGAACTAAAGCGGATCATCTTCTATCTACAGTAGAGCGTCGATTTTCTGAATCAATTAGCGACTGGGGTTGTCCGGATAACTGATATTTCGGATAACTGATTTACGTACGAAAAAATAGTTTTAACATATCCGATGTCGAAATGTTTCTCCGTTGCGTGTCGCTTTGCGTTGAATTTTCGTCGATGTTAAGCCTAACAAAGACTATTGTATCGTTAAAAATTATTTTTTTATTTGGTACAAACAAAATAAATATATTGAAAAATATAAAAATAATAAAAAATTATACTTCAGATGTTAATTTAGTATCAAAAACATAAAATATTTGAGTAGCCCAAGTCATAGCCAAAGATTGAAGCGCCACAGCACTGGCGAAAATTTAAATTTTCCGACTGGAATTCTTTCGGATGATTGACTTTCGGAAAATCGACGCTCTACTGTATTTATATAAATAAAAATGTAATGTTTGTTTGTTCCTACCGATTCCTTTGAAATTTTGACATGACGCTGCATTCGAATACGCACGTGTTTTTATATAATATACGTGTCGAAATTCCTCCCACTGAAGGGAGATGGTTAGGATTAAGGCTTACATAAAGAATTCTGCTTCTATTTATACTATTTTAAATGCGGTTTTTTGCGTTTTTGATTGCGTTTTAATAGGGTACGTCAACAGAATGTACACTAAGAAGAAATTTTTCGAAAAATTTCCCCCATGGGAGAAGTGTTATACATTTATAATACATACATTTTGAGCCACAACAACGTGTGGTGGGGTCTGCTAGTATTTAATAAACAGCATGTCACACGACTTAACTTTTTAAATATGTGATATGTATGAGATGAGTGTTTCTTTAACCAGTTACATATGTTTGAGGTATGATAAGTTATAATCAACATTTCTTATCTGGTATTCCTAAATTTTTGCTAATGGCACAAAAGCATAATTCTTTAAGTATCTTGTCGTGATACACTCTAATTGTATAATTATAAATCATTTCATATGAAATTGATGAAGTTAATTGTTATGTTCTGTCTATCATCCATGAGTGAGTATTTTTTATTTTTATTTTGAGTTTTAGTCATGTGATAAATTACACATGATCATTGGTTACAGCAAGTGACAGGGAGATGGTCTCCCAAAGTCAAACCAATTTGACTTCCTGACAGCTACTCTCCCACTGTCCAGCAGACATGGATCTCTCGTCTCTTCTTTCACTGATGAATGACGTCAAAGTGAGAGACAAAATTCGTCTCTCATACACATTGGCGATTCTGGTGGTTCGTAACGATCTCATCTTTGTTGTTGACGTCACAATTCTATTTGGTTGATTATACATGTTAGGGTTATCTGCACGCGCAACATGGTATAGGATTTTAACCAATGAAATTGTAAAATTTTCAAAAATGCAGAGTACATAATCATAGATCACGTGGCAAGGAAAGCATGTAATTTCGACAAATTTGTTTTTTTGTTTGTAATTTCGACAAACAAAAATTTGTTTTTTTGCACGTAATGACAAATTGGCATTACAGATTGTAATGCCAATTTGTCTTTTAACAAATAAAAATTTTAATAACCTAAGTTAGAAAAGCATGCATACTTGGATATTTTTCGAAATATTACAATCTAATTTCTCCTTAACTATCTAAGTAAGATTAACATCATAGTTTAGTAATTGATGTAGGTTAATTAAAAAAAAAAAAAAAAAATGGAATCAGTGATGTTTCTGAGTAGTCACTGGAAAAAATTGGAAGCATTTTCTCTCTGGAAATATTCTTTTCCGAGTAGAGAACGTTCTCTAATACGATTGTACAGCGCGAGTAGCATCCAGTCATCCATATTGGATATAACGAAATCAAGGCGAAAGACGATAGACTGGTTGAAAGACAACTATCTGCTTGTCTGATAAATGAGAGAAGCGAAGAGAGAAAAAGTTGTCCAGAATCACGTTTAGAGAGATGCAATGATCTCTCAAGATGTAAACAAATGATAAGCCAATCAGCGACCGGCTTGTGAGAGACGATGACCAGAATACGGCCCACGATTTTCTGTCTCAGAAAAATTGCCTAGTGTTTTGTGACCTTAACTAATAGTTTTAGCAGCCATCCAGCCATATGTGTTTTTACTTTGAAGATGCAACAGCCTGTTCAATTACAGACAAAACACATTCTGAATAATAGTGTGTGTTTTGTCTGTGATCAAACAGGTTGCTGCATCAGACAAAAAACACACTGATATTCAGAATGTGTTTTGTCTGTGATCAAACTTCAAAGCAACTGCACAATCATGAAACATGATGACAAAGCCGAAATTTTAAAGTTAGATCTATTGGTTGAGATATTATGGGTTGATTGGTGAATTGGTGGGTAGTAGGTTGTAAGCTCATTGCCTGCTACATGTCAATGGAGTTTATGATTGCTGTTAATTTACATTGATCTCTATGACAACTTTTTATTCTGATCTTTACCACAGGTATTTAACATGTACAATGTCATGATGAAAGTAACTTTTCAAAACTTGCACATATGTGTCCTGTATCTACACATGCATGTGTTTTAACTGGTCACTGGAATTGGTAGTCTATTGACTGCACATATAAGTGTTTTAAACATTTCTTAGCATTTTTGTCAGCTATGATGATGGACATGCATGCTTCCCTTTACCTCTGGGCGTTAAACTGCTTTAGACAACATTAGAAGCATATCACCATTTGTACTTTTGTGTCAAGCCAAAACAGAAAAATATACACTGGAGCTCAGTTTCCTTTTCCTAGAAAATACTTACCTAAGGTATTTGTTTTTCCTTTAGTATTTACAAATTACTCAAAATACTTAAAAATTGTAAATAATAATAGCTTAAAGTGTTTAACAGAAGCAGAAGTCCTGCATTTTGAGTTCTTGCATCTATAGTACTACTCATGTAAGACCTATTATGAATTTTCTTTTTGTAGATGTGGTAATGATATGGCCACTGTTACATTTGCTATAAGGCTCTCATCCAAAGGCACAAAACCACAGTTTTTAAGAAAGCCATAACATGAAATCTCATTCTTGGTTTCTTGGTAAAATTGTTCAACATCCATCTCATCTTTTAATAAGGAAAATTTTAAAGAAAATAGTTACGTTGTTATGAAATGTGTTAATTAGACATAATATCAAAACTTATTGACAAGACTATGTCTCTCCTCTAAAATCGTGCTGCTGTCAACGGCTGGACATCTTAGAGGTATGAAGGAGTACATGTCAGGAGTTGCAATTTGGCACGGAGTATTTGGTGCCCAAATCATGCACACATAAAAAAAAAAAAAACAGACTTGTAGGTAGTCAGGGGACCAAGAATGGATCAAAATAAAATACAAAATAGTGAGACTGTTTCTACAAACAGGTGCGAGTGCAAGGTTTGCACATGTGTTGCTCTGAGACATAGAAATCTCCAAGAATGGCTTCACTGTTTTACTTGTTTGATTTTAAAAGTGTCATTACTTCAGCAAAAGGCAGGAATTAATCAGAAGCAATTAGTGCATCTAGACAAAAAGATGAGAAGAAAAGCAAATTTTCATTTTTTATGTGACATGCTATACTAAACCAGTCTTACAGCTTAATATATTAGGTTGTTTGGAAAGTAATTTTGCTTTTTTTTACCACTAGATGATTAGTTGTATTTTTCCTGTCATTTTTATTCTAAACTGTATTATCATTATATATTTTGACAGCTAGCATTTTAAGGCTTATTTGTAAAAAATTTTGTTTGATTCTGTGCAATTGTTTATTTTTTGTGTCCCATCAAATATGGAAGATCAAAAGCATCATTTTTGGCATATTTTGCTTTTTACTACCAAAAAATCAAAATGCTGTTCAAGCAAGAAAAAAATTGTGGTACATGTATGGAGATGATGTGTTGAGAGAAAGACAGTGTGTTGAGAGAAAGACAAAATTTCGTTCTGGCAATTTCAATATTGAAGATTCATCACATTCTGGAAGGCCAGTTGAAGACAATTAAAACAAAAAAGGTACTGATTAAAGCAAACTGCCGAATAACAATACATGAAATCACTAAGAGATTAAATTTGTCTAATTCAAGCGTTTATTATTACTTGAAATAAATTTGTTTCATTTCAAAGCTCGATGTATGGAAGTTCTTAAAGAAAGATGCTCTCTTTAAGAACTCTATGTTCTTAAAGAGAGCATCTTTGGATGTTCTTAAAGAGAGCTCGATGTTCTTAAAGAAAGATGCTCTCTTTGGTGGGATTTTAAGGAAATCTTTTTTCTTTTTGGAGCTTTTACCAGACAATTTAACAATTGATTTGAAAGTGTACTGCCATCGAGTAAACAAATTGAGTAATATCATTAAACAGAAAAGGTGGTCAGAATTGATCAACAAAACAGGTGTAGTGTTTTACCACGATAATGTCAAATTTCACACAAATTTGGTAGTCAGAAACTGTTATAACTTAGATGAGACATGTTATCACACCAACCATATTTGCCAGATCGAGCACACTCAGATTATTACTTGTTCCAGTCTATACAAATTTTTTTAACTGTAAGACATTTACTTGAAATGACAATGTCAAAAATCACTTGGATCAGTTTTTTGTAAGCAACGATCAAAACTTTTATGAATGTGAAATCATGCTACTACCAGAAACGATGGGAACAGGTATTTGACCAAAATAGTCGATATATAATTCAATAAAATATTTATTTATTATAAAAATATTGTCCATGGAAAAAACAAAATTACTTTCCGAACAACCCAATAGTAACTTTATTCTTGGGGAGAAAAGAGTATGGGCTAACACAACTTGCACATAGAAATGAAAATGTTTTGCCAAATTATGGCAATAATAAAGCATGACCAATAATAGTTTAAAATTTAATTTTTTCAAGTAGCTTTTACAATTATTAAGGAAAGATAGCTGAATTATTATGCAGCTACAAGGGAAATATTCAGTATTGTAACAGACAATTTTTGTAAAACAGTTGACTGGTTGTGATGACCTGTTGCTAACCTGTTTTGCATATTTTCTAATTTCATGTTTTTTCCCAGATAGGTAAATTTATTAATATTTTTATTTTATATTTATGTTTACTTTTATTGTAATGATTTCAGGTTGTCACAGTCTGTTTACTGGTTAAGTTTGGAATATTGCATATTAATTATCTTTTATGGAATATTGTATTGATGTATTTATAATTTGTATTTCTGTATTGGATATGGTATTTATGTAGTGGAAATTGTATTTGACACTGGATATTGTATGTTATGTATTGGTTATTGTATTTACGAATTTGGATATTGTACATTGACTATTATATTTAGTGTATTGGTGTTTGTTTTATTTGATAATTTGTCTGTTTCGTAATTGTTTTGTTTGTTTTGTTCCCTGAACAAAGGGTAAAAGACCTTGAACTAATAAATAATTAAATAAATAAATAAAATTTTCATAAAATGACAGGGATAATGACCAACATCCCTGGGAAAGATCATCAAGCAGTTGTAAATGGTCTATTTTGCATATTTTTGAGGATGTACAGTTTAGATAATGGTAGTTAGGGATCACCAAACAGTTCTATCATGTGATCCAAATCATAGAGTTTGTGAATTCCAAAATGTGATGACATAAAAAATAAAAAACTTGATTAGTAGTCAATTAAATAACATTTTATTTTCCAACAAAACAATTAACCAAAGTTTTACCTTATCCTTTTCTATCTCCTGAAGAACCAAGCTGTTTTTATTTTATAGATTGATGCCAACATTTCCCTGTTGAATAATGAAGTTTCTTTCATTATTTAACAGGGAAATGTTGGCATCAATCTATAAATGTTGGCATGGCAACAGGAAAATGAAAGAAACTTCATTACCTTTGGTAATGAAGTTTCTTTCATTATTCAGAGTTTGACATGTGAAGTATCAGATTACTATCTAAAAAAAACTAATTGTGAGGACCTCACTTGACAAATTTAATGACATAAAGAAATCCTATTAAATGATTATACTGAAGATGAGCATGTTATTTTTAAAATGATATTTATGGAGAAATATAATCATTGTATTGTCTACTTGATAGAAGGTTTCGAGTATAGGCAGGATTGTAAATTTTTGTCCATTTACTGAAAAAGTCAGTGTACATTTAATTAAGGTGAAAATACATTAAGTTCTATTACATCAGAATGGGATGTTTTATCCACATAAGTATAGTTATCTGCTAAATCCAGTATCTACTAAACCAAAGTTTCATTGTATATTTGTTTAATAAATTACTGTAAATTTTTATAAAAGTTTAGTTTTTAATTTATAGAAGCCCATATTTTATTAAGTTAGAAAACATTTCTATGTTGATGCATGTTTCACTCCTGTCATCTATGTAGATTTCTACAGCCTCCAATGATCTTATGTGTTGTCAATCAAAGACTGTGTGTATTAGGGTGACATAATGGGCCAGATTAATGTACTGTATAAATGTTTCCTTTTGCTACATTTTACTTATGATCTCATAATCTGGCTTGTAATGATCTGTACATGGAACCAATATACATTAGTATCTTGATGAACCTATCATCCTGTAGTGGGATGCGGTAAACCCCGGTATTCTTGGGTGTTCTGTGCTGTCTTTAGTGTTAAACAGAAGGCGGAAAACATTGTGTTTCCTTTTGTATGCTATGAGTATGTTTAAATCCTTGGCAATCTTCCTGTAAATGTGATGAAGGGAGGGTTCATAGCTTAGGATTACCCGATTACCTTCTGTTTTGTTAATGTTAGTATTGGTGTTGGATGACATAGCATGAAGTGTGGATGATAAATGTTGATAAATGAACCTGTACCCATGCTTGGATGTTTCAGTTGTTCTACCTCCTTGTTGTTATCTGACAGCTTAGAAAATATGAGTAGGCTCTCACTACTAGTGTGCAGAACAACCATGGATCAGCTGAATTGGTTGGTATGAATAGGGGGCATAAATAGGTTTGCAGTAAATTGTGATGATGAACTTATTATCCACTACCTGAATCTTGATGTCAAACAAAAAACTATTAACATCTAAGTAACTTTCTTGATCTAATTTTAGTGTTAATCCATAGTTGTCAGTATTAAACACTTTTAGCATATTCCAATATCTGGTCTATTTCTGCATATAATCAAAATTATATGAGAAAATTACATCCCTGTACCAAATGCATGGAAATGTTATTTAGACTCATAAAAAATATACATTGTATGTGATATGTCACAACCATTGTTAAAACATTTTGTAAAGTTAATATTTGGACTCCTATATATTCTAAATTATTTTTACAGTACATATGAGGTGAAACTATAGTTTTATAATAATTTTACTATTACATGAAATTCTTTCATATAAAAAAGTGAAGTTTTCTTTTTAGCTTTTTAATTATTAATAAATAATAATAACTTTATCTTTTTTAGACCTGAAGCTTTAGACTGTCAACTTGAAAATGAAATGCTTTCAAAAAAGCACTTAGTTATTCCACCTGGAGTTGATCTTTTAACTTTAAGGTAAGAATTAATTGAAATAATAAATAAATTGAATGATCAATAGATATTAGTTTCAAATTAGAATTTATTTATAGAAGATATTTTTAAAAGAATTATTCAAAAACAATAAAACTTTGGAATTACATGATGCTGAATATTTTTTCCAGTCTGGCAGGTTTCTGTTTCAAACAAGTTTTTTTAATGTAGAAAATAAATTGCTTCATACCAAAGATTTTTTTTTATTTAGGCAGGTTCTGTTTTGGACATATTTTACTGTATTTGATAATTATGAAACATGGTAAAACAAAAAATAATTTAAGACCTAAATAACAAAAAAATATTAAAAATTAATAAAGCTTTGAACAAAGTTAATTAGAAATAACAAAGAAAATTATAATTATATATAAAAATTGGCTTATAGAAGCTGGTAATTTAATACATTATTGAAGGACGTATCATTTTCATATTGTAGTGTAGAATAGTTAATTTCAGAGATATTAAATTTACTATTTAAATATGAAGAATAAAAAATATATACATATTAAAATCTTTTCAAATTTTAAATCAAAATTTTTAATAAATTTAAGAAAAAACAAAAATTGAAAATGTTTAATTATTGTTATTTTTAATTACTTTCTTGTAATATATGTAATGAAAAAAGAGTATATATCATTATGCTGTTGGACTGAAAAAGTGAAACATCCAAAAAGTGCTGTTGGAACTTTATTAAATGCATAACAAAAGACCAAACATATGGTAAGTAAATGGTGTGCATGACATGCACCACAAGTTGTAAGAATGAGGAAAAGAGAGCCACACAATAACATCCAATGTAAGATTCAGTATAGGGAAGCATAAAAATCTTGATTAGTATCCTGAGGCACATTTCACCATTCCTCCTCTAACTGTGTAAAGCAGTGGTCACACCTAGTGATTTTCAGCCACATAGATGACTGCAACTACAACAAGCGCGAGTTGCATGCATTTTGTTATGGTCACATTGTTCATTGGCATTGCAGCTCAGAAACATCTGACCTAATAATAAACCAATAAAATTACAGTAGCTTGTTTTTGACTATTTTTGTGAGTTTACCAACATTTTACATTTTACTTCAGAATATTTACAGAATTTTAGCCACTTTTCTTATTAAAATGGCAAGCAGTTCCTTTTCTGCAATGAATAAAAGAAAAAAAGGCAATAATTTTGTTAGAGTTGGCAAGAATTCACAAAGAGATAAATTCTTCAATAAAACAAAGAATTAAAGTCCCATGGGCATTCATGAGCCTGAATAAGCTCGGCCAATCTCAATTCTGTAAAAGTATCAATCCTCTTACTTTCCGCACATGATGATGAACTATTTTCAATATTATTATCATGTGACGTGGCACAAAGGTGTGAGAGATTGGACTTGGAAAGGGGAAAACCCCACAAATTTATTTGGAAATTTTTTGTTTTGAAAAGGAAATTTATTTAAATCTTAGAGAGAAAAAAACTTTTTCCATTTTATTACTGGAGGATGAGTGCATTTCTCTTCCCAGAGTCGTTTCCTTTCCCAGGGACTCATAATGTGTCACTGGGAACTACAACTAAAAATTCACTATTGGTGGAAAATGACAACGTGACTTGGAAATAAATAGGAGACCTCAAGGAACATTGAGAGGGGTCGAGAGTTTGCGAGAATACTCCGTGTGTGTCAGCCAAAAGGATTTATCATCATCGCTTGTCGCCGTGCTCTCCTCCTGAATATCCAGTGTTTCGCCGGGAACACCTATGAAAAACTAATGGATCTCAACTTTTGATAGACTTTAACCTCCATCTAAGGCAACAGAGACATTCCCAAGGCTTCCCAACGACTCCACAGACATTTGGAAATCTGTACATAGTTGCTTCAGGATGTTATGTAAGCTCTCTCTCTCTCTCTCTCTAACTCGGTTCTCGCGAAGAAGCTTTAGGGGAAATACCATTTTGTAGAACTAGTTTAATAAATGAATTTTGTTATTGTTAGAATTGTGTTGGGTGCACTTCCTCAAGCAGTCTCCATCCCAAGTCCAACCACCCACAGATGCGACTGCTTGTGCGTAAATGCGAATGTAGCGGTCTGTGTCTACCCAGCAGACACAGTGGTGTCAGTCCTGACAAATTAGTCATCGCAGTCTTCGCTGATGCAATGTCGACCCTTCGGTTCTGTGGTGCCAAAGCATGGGGGGGCGCTTTGGCATTGTCACAAAGGTGTTTGCAATCGTCACAAGTAGAACAAAAGTTTTGTATCTAATTGCAGTTGCAGTCATGCTGGTTTTTGAAGGGGGTTTACTAGAACAACTGTTCCAGCCATACAGGCAACTGCAACCACAGTTGCCTGCATTGCTGGAAATTGCTTATAAGATATAATATAAGAAAATTGTTTTTTCCCATGAAAAAAACGAAATTACTTTTCAAACAATTCAATAGTTTATTTTAAGTAACTATGAAAGCAATTAAACTTTGTATATATTGTTTATTTTATTACATAAAAAAAAAATAGACTGAAAATTTGCTCCTTGCTCTGCCACTGTTTGTAATGTATCTAATTTATAAATTTTTGCTTAAATTTTTATGTAAAAATCAACAAATTTAAATTTATAGTGTATTAAAAATGTTTAGTATTATTTACAGTATATATAAATAAATTATTTTTGCTATTGATTCTCAGTTCTTGTGTTGGAATTAAAGCCAACAAATTTAAAAATACTTTTGAAAAACCAGTCAATTTTATATTAGGAAATTCATACAGTAATACCCTGAACTTACGCGATAGGTGGGACCGAGCGATGACCGCGTAACTCGAATTCGCGTAAGTCGGGGTATAATTTCGCAATTTGTGTAAAATCCAAGTTGGATGTATGTAAGCTAATAAATGTTCTTGTTAATCTTATCTCATCTTTTTATTCATTCACAGTTACAAGAAATCACCACATAGAGTCTCTCAAGGCTCCGTAGATATAACAAACGCAGAAATAAATAACACAAAATAAATTGTAGCTATGTGTCGATTCCGCTCGACACATCCGAACATGTAAGCTGATCAATAGTGTGGGGGGAGTGAGTAATCAAGAGTTGCGTGGCGCTCAAACAAAAGATGAATTGACGAGATTTGACAATCGTGTAACTCCGGGTTCGCATAAGTCGGGGTAGCGTAAGTCGCGGTATTACTGTATTACTTTTTTAAATAAAAGATAAAGTACAAACATTTTTAAAGTAAATATTATATTATTGACACAGTAGCCTATTTGTTTGAAGAATATACTTAATTTTAGTTATGTTTATATTTGTGTAATTTTAATTTACTTATTAAAGGCAGATTGTACCAGTATATGAATATATTTGTTTATAATTAGTATAATGATTATAAGAATTGGAGATTTGGGAATTTAAATATTAACAATAAAAGATAAAGTTTACTTAAAATGTTATTTTGCATTTTAATTTTACTACTGTGTTTACAAATTAATATAAGAAGTTTTGACAGCTGGACGGCCAAGGCAGTTAAGATGTAAGCTTATTACTCCAAGGGATTCAGAATTGAATTTAGGCATGCAGTCCTGGAAATTTTTGTCCTAGATATATCTGGTTTCATCCCTCACCATCTGGTTACTCCCATTGGTATGACAAAACCCTCTTAGTGTTTAAAGAATGGAAAGAGTTGAAATGAAAAGAAAGCATAAATGTTAAATATGGAACCTGTTACCAGTGTAATTTTTTCACGCAAAATTACACCGGTAACAGGTTTCGTATTTAGTATTTCATCCCCGGTGTTAGAGTGAAGTTTAATTTACTTAAAGCATAAATGGTTATTATTTAGAAAAATCTGTAATAATCTCAGTTTTTATATACATGTATATTTGATTTATATAACTACAAAAGTTATAGTATGTAAGGACTCAAAGGGACAAAACACTACACTACATGCAGGCAAGTGCTATGTGCATTATGCCTTTACTGCAACAGGTAGCAACCTGTTGCAGTAAAGGCATAATGGCACATTTATTTTATGCTATATCATTGTCACAGTAATTCAATGAATATAATATATATTTTTTAAAAATTATATCTTATTTTGTAAGAATTATATTTATTTAAATTTTTTCTAATAGATGGTGCTACATGTAAAGCCAGAAAATCGAATGTAGACAGAAATTAATTGATATGTAGAAATCCATCAATATTTTGATGTGAGATGTACAATGTGATTTAAGTTAGAAGTATATGTGTGTAACTTCTGAGTTTCATAGCAATTTGTCAAATGGCCTAGGATGTATAGCAAACAAATAATCTTCCTCATTTATATATATACTGGTAACCCTCGTATAACACGGCACTTCCATAGCACTGGTTCACTCTAACACGGTTCAGGAATTGGGTAAAACCCTCGTACAACATGAAATGTAATAAAGAGTGCATTCTTTTATACCTCCATGTAACTCCGCGCGAGCATTCTAATTGTTTTTGTGGCTACTTTGAATGCTCTTTCAACAAATAATCCATTTAATGGTTAAATTATACAATTGAGACTCCTCCTTTTGCCCTCGATTCCTCCATCACGATACTATCGATAGTGTGGGCGCCATCATCTTTCTTTCACTGTCTTTCCTAAATGCCTACAAACAGCAGCACACTCCTGTTGCAGAGTGACCACTATTAACGAACGCACCCAAAAACTGTTACCAGTTGATGCTGAGATCATCATATAGGATGAATAATCCTCTGGTAAAATATTTACTTAAATAATAAGTATGAAAAAAATGAATAATAAATCCAATTTAAATAAGGGTTTAGCAGCATGTTTTTTAATTTTTGGAACCTAACCCCCCCTTTCGCACTAGTTCTTTGTTTCGTATAACATGGATTCGCAATTTTTTGGAACATAACTCCTGTGTTATATGGGGGTTACCTGTATATATATTTTAAGCAGATAATAAATGGACAGGTTTTTAATTAGAAAAGTATTTTAAACAGTTTTATTTTTAAAATTATGGTGTATTCC